GATGGCTACACAGATGAACAGATAGCTAAATAGACAAAAAAAAAAAAAGATATTAGAGAGTCTTTCTTTATGTTCCCACAATTATTCATGTGCCTTCTTTTAATAAGCTCCACTATGTGTTTTACATGAATCTGGCTCCATCGCTGACCTGATGAAATAATTCAGACAAATCTTTGCTGGGCAGAGTTCATCAGCCCCAGTTCCAAAGTGGGATCACACCTGGCCTAGAAGAAGCAACTCTTGCTTGGGATTTAAACATGGGAGGGTGCTAGCCTGGCTCTGCTAGTGAATGGTAGGTTCTTACCTATGAGTGAACTGATCAGCGAGGAGCACAGAGTTAAGGGAAGTGAAAAGCAGAGCCCTGATGAAGCAGTTTGTACCCCTGAATTCTGCTATACCTGCTCCTGGCACCTCTGTTTCTAATTGCATGTGGGATTCTATACTTCCACCTCTTTTTTCTTGTGGTTGTTTGCAACCAAACAAGAATAGCTACATAATTTGGAAGACAGTTACTGTGCAATGTACTATGGGGGATCCAAAAGGAACCCAGAGGCTTCCAGCTTCCCAGTCCTTCCCACAGTGGCACACAGGCTAGGGGCCACCCGTGACCTGCCTGGATGTGAGCTCAAAGTTCACAATCTGATGTCAGAGTGAACACTTCAAAGCCCAACTACTTACTGCTATATCCACGTAGTTGCATTTTAGTGCCCAAAAAGCAATGTCAAGTCTTCACTCGGTAGTTTTCTGGTCAATCAAGCAAGTAAGCTCAGTTTTGGGAAAATATCCCTCCCCACCAAAGAACTCAAAAATGTTTTTCTCTTTGAATGAACTCAAAGAATGTGGTGAGTAAAATATGTTTATTTTTCCCGAAGCAGTGCTTGTGTATAGAAGGTTATTTAACATTCTTCTTGATAGATCATACTCTCCGAGGGTCTTTCCAGCTTTAAAACTCTGATTGCATGAAAAAGATCAGTGAGAAATTTCTCTCTGCATCATCACCTGGCAGTACAATGCCTGGAACACAGGAGCTGTGCTGCATTCGGTGAATAATGAATGAATACCTTGTACCTGTCCATAGCCCCCATTCTCCAACTGCACAATTTAGAGGACCCCCACATGAAGCAAATTGAACTGGTCTAATCCACCTGATTAGATTCTGAACTCATAGCTTAAAGGAACAGTCACAGAGTCAGAGTGTCCTTCAATGATCCTCTTTAAAAAGCAAAAACAAAAACAAAAACGAAAACCCTCCCATGCTGTGAAAGAAAAGAGAGTTTCTCCATTTTTCCAACATAGTGTGTTTTCCTTCTGCCCTGGAAAGACCACCGAGCATCTGGGCAATGCACATGAGGAAGAGGATGACTCCTGTTTAAGAAATCCGGCTGAATGAAAGCGGAAGTCTTTGCCTGGGGGGTTGCTCATAGATGCGAGGCAAAGGGGACAGCGCAAGATCCATCAAGTCGGATTTTCCATCCCCTGCTTTCCCAAGCTGCTCTGAGCCCAACCCCACCTCCTCTTCCTCCTTTACGTCCCTTTTACCCCCTCTCTTCTCCTCCTCTATCCCCTCTTCTCTCCCCCTCCTTCCTTCCCTCTTCTTTCTTCTTCTTCTTCTTCTTCTTCTTCTTCTTCTTCTTCTTCTTCTTCTTCTTCTTCTTCTCCTTCTACTTCTCCTTCCTCTCCTTTTATTCCTTCTTTCTCCTTCTCCTCCTCCTCCTCTTCCTTCTCCTTCTTCCTTCTTTCTCCTTCTCCTTCTCTCTCTCTCCCCATATAGCATAATTTACATAACTCAGATATGCTTCTGCTACAACTCTATTGTATTTCTAAGTCTTCAGAGACCAATTAATGTCCCCAGTAAAAAGGACAGAAAAAAGATTCCCTCCATCCTCTGACATCTACCCCGTTGCAGTTCTTTCTGTGGCTCCTGGAAAGTATTTTTTACTACCTTCTTCCTTCCACATTTAAGTGATCTTGAAGAAGCAGAAAGATTAGATGAAAAAGCTTTAAGCAAGCTTTACTTTGGATTCTAAAACCACAATGATTCATTCTTTTTCCATCAAAATAAAATCCTTGTCTTTATAGCAACTGTGATGAATGAAAGCAGCATCCTTGGAGATTTATACACATCTCCAGCACTGGCTTCCCACCACCGCTTTTCTCTTTCCTCTCCCCGCATCTTCTTTTCATTTTGCAGTGCAACAAAGTTTCACAAGGAAATATTTTATAGGAAATCCATGTCTGGGGATTTATTCGGGCCTTTGTCATAAATTATGGCAAAAGAGAACCAGTCTCTTGCTACACAATTCCAAATATTTCAGCAAGGTGATTACAATAAAGTCCATGACTGCCTTTAGTTGTAGTAGGATTTGTGTGCCTGCAGCTGCTCGCACAGATATGAGACAAACATGAAGACAAAGGCTTCCTTTGATGAGAAGGCAAAGCTGAGGTTTGGAAAGGAAGAGAGTCTTTTTCTCCCACTGAATACTACATGGAAGCAGAATTGTCTTCTTACAGCCCAGATCAGCATCTGTGGGCCATGGAAATGGCAGCCAACCAGACTAAACAGTTTCTCTGGATGAAAAATGACCTCTTCCCTAGATTCAGCTTAGCAGTTAATATAATGACCTTTAAAAATCGAGTTACTGGGAATTGGATAAAGTTTTATAAAAATCAAGCAAGAAAGCCCTGAAAAGATGATAAGAGATTGTTTAAATGCCTGCTAATCGCACACTCTGCTCCCTGAGACCTACAGCATAAACCTGGGGAGCTGCTCTGGATAAAAATCTAACATGATAATGAAGAATTGCTTCCAGGATGCTGCAGCCTGTCCCACCTTAGAGACAGTCTCCATGGAGGTGAGGAGTGAGGCTCAGTGATGCTCAGTTGAGCTCTGGGAAACACAGTCATCCAAATATCTCCTGTTCATCTTTCAAATCTGCCACAGAGCTGGTGACCCTGCCTTTGGACAGTGTAGCTTAATATATTTTTTCTTTTTGAATGAAGGTTTCAGTTTTTCCTCCAGGAAAATGCCTGTCTTCATCATACCCATTCTCGATGAGCTTATCAGTCACAATGTCTTCCCCTTGTATGGGCATGGTTAAGTGCTTCACACTGAGTCACTGTGATCCCCAACCTGGGTATGGGGTGATTCCAGAGCAGTACAGAGTTGAAGCTTATTTCTCCTGACACCGGGATCCCTGAAAGGAACCCCACCTATTGTGTGGGTATAACCTTGCTAGAATTCCAGTTCTGTTTTTTCCTTGGATTTCTTCTAGTAAATTCATACTTCAATGAAGGAAACTTCATTGAGTTCTGTAGTTCTCATGCATAAAAGCAACTAAAATAAGCATTGATTTGCTGCTCTGGGTGTGATTACAAGCTAGACTGTTGCCTGGGAGATGTTGTTTTGGCTATGTGTGTGTCACTTTCAGGTCCACATGTTAAATGCCTGGATCCAGGATGGCACTATTGGGAACTTTTGTGGGCCCTTCGGAGGCAGGGCCTGATGACAGATCTAGTCACTAGGGCCATGTCCTCAAAGGAGATTGCAGAACCTCTTTGCTTCCTCTGTTTGCTTCATGCCTCATGATATATTTTGTCCTACCACACACTCTTGCCAGAATCCAAAAGCAATGGGGCCATTTAATTTTGGACTGGAAACTAAACAAATTCTTTTTCTTTATCATTTAACTGCCTTGGGTATTTTATTACAGTAATGTGATGCTGTTTAAAGAAATAATTGAACATGCAGAATCTTGGGTCCCATTCTAGATTCACCAAATGAAAATCTGCAATTTAACAAGGTTCCCTATGTGGTTCATGTGTACAGTTTAGTATGAGAGGCACTAGTTAATGGAGAATCATTAGGACTCTGGGTCAGACAGAGCTCCATTTTTATTCTTAGGAAAGTGACACCTTATTTGAGGGTCCTCATTTCTTCATCTCTTAAACAAGGGTCCTTTCTGCCTCATTAGTTTATTTATTCCTTCATTTACTAAATATCTATTGATTCAAGACATTCTGCTGGAGGCAGCAAGATAAATAAAATTTAAGTGCTTCTTTTGAAAAGGTCATAGTCAGACAGAAAACACTGTAAAGAAACATTTAAAATATTATGCATCCTGATTTTCTCAGAAATAATGTGAGAGGACTCACTTCCTCAGGTATTTATAAGGATTACCTTTTTAGCACACACACACACACACACACACACACACACACACACCAATGAACCAATAAGCTTTGTATATTATTGGTAATTATTTCAACCATAAAGATTAAGATATGTAATCTTATTGGCTTATAATTATTAAGTGTTTACAATTGACCAGATATGGATCTAAGATACTGATACGGATATATTGATTGGTTTAACATTTAGGCCAACAGAAGGAGGTAAAGTCTATCATTCTTATTTGACAAATGGAGAAAAGAAAGCACCTAGAAGTACCAGTCACCATGCGGGCATAGAGGAGAAGGGTCAACTCTCTTTGTGTGTGTGTGTGTGTGTGTGTGTGTGTGTGTGTGTGTGTGTACATGCATGCACTCAGGGCATGGAAGAACACATAGAAGAGGGAATGCTTCACCCAGAATATGAACAACGAAGTGTCACTGGGCAGGCAGAGGCTGTGGAGGCAGAAGCCACCACAGAGATGGAACAACAGGTGCAAAGAACAAGGCATGTGAAGAATATAGGATGACGTATGTGGATGGATAAGCAATTCCAAACTACCCAAACACATTGCCCTGTGCCCTGAAGTAGTCTTTCAGCTCTTAGCAACTGTTGAGCACCCTCACCACATGCACAGACTGAGACTCTAAGCTGTGCCTCAGTACCAGCACTGATTTCCAGTGGGCAAGTCATGTAAGAGCTTGGGGCCCTCTATCTGAAAAAAACAGAGAAAATACTAAATTCTTCAGCCTCTTCCCTTGCAGGACACACACAAGTGGTGTGTCTTGGTTACATTTTACTCGTTGCTGAGGCAAAATACCTGAAGTCAAAATTTGGGAAAGGAAAGGTTTATTTCTTACAGTTTTTGGAGGTTTCAGTCCATACTCAGTTGGCTCCAAGGCAGGGAGGCATGGCTGGGCCGCAGTTCATGGCAGCTGTAAATAGCAAGGAGGAAACAGGCAAAACTGGCTCCACCTCTGGGTGGGTGTAGCACTGATACCATCAATCCAAGCACTAGACAATGAACCAATCACAAATGCATAATGCAAATGTATGAGGCCTGGGGGCCACTGACATAAACCATGACATTCCACCCCTGGCCCCCAGGACTCATGTGCATCCTTTATACAAAAGACATTTAGTCCATCTCCAAGAGTTGCCAAAGTCCTAACAGTTTCAGCAGCATTGCGAGAAGTCCAAGTTCCAAGTCTCCTCCAAAATCTATGGCAAACTCTTAACTGTAACCCCCTGTACAAATGAAACAAGGTAAAACATTTCTGAAATGCAAAGGCACAATATAAACATTACCATTCCAAAAGTTACAAACAGGGGAATATAAAGCATTGGAAAGCAAGTCCAACATCCAGCAGGACAAACATTAAGTCCTAGAGTTCCACACTCAGCATTTGAAGCAATCTGGTTGCAAGCTCCAAAAGGCTGGGATGATTTCACCCCCACGGCACTTCCAGGGATTTCAGCTCCTGCAGCTTCTCTCTTAAACCCTCTCTGCTCACTTCTTGCAGTTTCCTTAGATGATTTATGTTGCTGGCTTTCCCAAACTTCTGGGGTCTCCATTACACCTTTCGCTTCATCCTTACATCTTTACAAACTTCCCTCTCAGGGGCACACTGCTTGGCTTCCCAGGCCCTTTGCAATTGAGGTAGATATCTTACCCTCAGAATTTGTGCATTTTCCTTGCACCTAAAATCAGCACCATGTGGATGTCACCAAGGTTTGCTGCCAGCTGAAGCAGTAGTCAGACTTTTTTCTCTCTTAGTTGTAGGGGTCAGTGGCTTGGATGGCTGGGCTCTGTTTACCTGATTGTGAGGAAAACCTTTTCTATATTGTCACCATTCTGGAACCTCATGTGGCCTCCATCGCCATTCTGGAGTATGGTGCCCTGTAGCTTTCTCCTCTGAGCAAATTCTTTCACTTTTGCAGTTTTGAGCCTGCAAAGGATAAAGACTCACTGCTTCCTGGGATGTCCCATGGCCATCTTTCTTATCTCTCTTGTTTCTCTTCAGCAATCAAAGTCTCAACTTTGTCTTTGCAATTTACAGCTTTCCTGGAACTTTCCTTCTGGCCAAACTCACAGAGTTGTAAATTATCCTGCTGGGCTCTTTGCTCTTGATTTGCAACATAAAGTTGTCTAAAAATGCCCAACAATAGCCATGCCACAGCCTCAACATTCAACTGCCTTTAAATTTCCTTTTCCAGATTAATCAGTCTCAGTCAAAGTCTCTGGGCATAAGCAAAGTGCAAACAAACTTTCTGCCAAGCCATAACATACATCATGGGAAGTTAAACAACCAATGCAGTCCTTCTTCCAAGCAGAAACCTTCCAAGCCTGGTCTTTAGCATCAGGCTTCCTATCAGCCTTCTGGTCTCCTGAGCTCTGACTAGAATCTCCTCTACAGAACAGCCTAAGCTGCTCCAGCTCTATGCATCCAGGTGTCATATCTGAACCTTTCCAAACTCTATCTACAAGCCATTTCCAAAGCTTGTCAAAGAACATGGTCAGGTATAGTCATAGCAAATGACCCCACTCCTCGGTACCATATTCTGTCTTAGTTACTTTTTACTCGTCACTGAGACAAAATACCTGATGCCCAAAATTGGGAAAGGAAAGGTTTATTTCTGACAGTTTTTGGAGGTTTCAGTCCATACTCAATTGGCTCCAAGACAGGATGGCATGGCAGGGCCACAGTTCATGGTGGCTGCAAACAGCAAGGAGGAAACAGGCAGAAGAGCACAATACACACCTTCTTCCTGACATTACATTACATCCTGGCTCCACCCTTATGTGGGTGTAACACTGACACCATCAATCCAAGTGCTAGACAATGAACCAATCACAAATGCATGATGCAAATGCATGAGCCTGGGGGCCACCGACATAAACCATGACATGGTGTCATCCAGGCAGTGAGCTGACACACTTGATGACAGCTCTGCAGAGCTGTCTTTGTATGTACAATATTAGCCTTAGAGTCTTGGCTCTGCTCTGCCCTTGACTATTCATGTTCTAAGGCTGCTCCTTGGACATGTATTTCTGTAGCCTCCACAGTGCTTGTATTGCCAGAAGACCTTCAAAAGTGTTAGAACGAGTCATGTCTCCATTCTCCATTGGGTGATGCTGTTGACTACCTTCAACTCTGACTAGGAACTTGTAGGTCCTTTTAATTCCACCAATCAAACTTGATCTCCTAAAGACTCAATGATTTTTTGTTTCATGTTTCAACACTGTTTTTGTCTCCCCGAGAGGACCCTGTGACCATTAATCAAAACAAATCCCTGTATCTCAGATATTGGCTACCATACTCCCTTTTTATTTTCTTTATAGGCAACTCCTCCCATGGTGCCTATCCTCTGAGAATCCTTGTCTGTCTCATTCACTATGTGCTGTGGTTTGGATATACTTACTCACTTTGCCTTCACTGAGACACAGTATCTGACACCTACAGTGTAAAGGAGAAGAGGTTTGCTTTGGTTTATGGTTTCCAGCTATGATTGGTTACTTCCAGGGCAAAAAGGAAGGGACTAGATGGAGAAAGCTATTCATAACATGGCAGCCAGGAAGCAGTAAGTGAAGGGAGGAGCCAGGGACACGAACATACCCTCCCAGGTCACATCCCCCATGACTTACCTCCAATTTTGCCCTATCTCTTAAGAGCACATTCAGTCACTGAACTCACTGATGAGTATAATGCCCTCATGATTCAATTGCTTTCTGAAAGCCCCACTCCTGAACACATGAGCCTTTTGAAGAGCATTCTAGATCTAAAATATAACAGATAGACTCACACCCAAGTTTGATATGTTAAAATTTAGTCCACAATATAAAGTATTAAGAAGTTGAAGTGATCCTGCTACAGTGTTTAAACTGGAGCCTTTGGGGGGGGATTAGGATTAGATAAATTCATTAGGTTTGTAACCTATGATTGAGGATTGCTGGCTCTGAGACAGAGAGGAAGGGGAAGAGGGAAGGAAAGAGAGAGGGAAGGAAGTAAAGAGAGAGAAATGTACCACATGACGCCATGTAACTTCTTGAGCCACCTGTGGCCTGCCAGCAAGAAAGTTATCATCCAGTACAGTTCCTTGACTTTGTATCACAGCCAGGAGCCAATGTAAATCTTTTTTTCTTTATTAAGTACCCCAGCCCCAAGTAATTCATTACAATAATGAAAAATGGGCTAATAATATACCATTCACAGTACCTAGAAATGTGCCTGGAATATGCCAACTGTTCCAAAGGAAAACATGCAAATAAAGGAATGATTTTCTTTTCAAACAATAATTTTAGGCATATATCTTATTCTAAGGAAGTCAAATAAACAAAATCTAGTATTACAATCAAATGTGATTTACAAGTTTCTTCCACTCAGAATTCTACGGTAGATCCCACAGCTGGCTCTGGGAAATTGTGAAGAGCAAGTTTCACCCACTGTCTTTCAAAAGCACAGAAGGACCAAGGGCAGCGTGCATGGACTTTGCATAGTTCCAAGGCACTTGTTTCGGGTTAGGTCCCCTGGAATCTGGGGTATATCTCATATTTTGATTTTGGAGGGCTTGGGGTGGAGGTTAATACTTGGAAAGGGAAGGGGAGAAAGCAGATTCAGAATGTATAGAAGTGAGGTTGGTGAGAGTTCGGCTGACAGGCAGGGAATGATGAAGCAGGTGCAGAGTCACAAGCATGACCTAGGCAGGGCCAACTGCCCAACCTTAATTTGCACCCTTGGGGCACTGTGCCACAGGCCAAGACTGTCACAAAGAACTAGCGGATTCTGCAACTGAGGTAGCTTCTGAAAGAGCTAGTGGGCAGTGGGCAGTGTCCATCGGCAAACCACACTTCTTTGAGTGGGGCAGCTGTTTGGCTTAGAAAGGGACAGCTGATACTTCCTGGAAGGGGCCTCTAAGGAGGGATTTCCCTGATCCTGGGTGCTTCAAGTGTGTGAACTTCAACCTCAAGGCTTGGTTCTCAGAAATCTGGCTAGTGTGTGTCCACTGAGTTTCTGCTTGCTGTCTTCTAAGATTAGCTATAAATAGTCTAACTCCTAAATTAGAAGTCACATCCTGTAAGTGTTTGCTGACTTGGCAAGAGCAATACTGTCATAATTTCACAAATAATGATGTTATCCGAGACAGGAGTTGCATTAGATCAATTACCACTCTATTTCAGTGCCATCTGAATAGCTTTCAGTGTTTATTTCAGTTCACCTATTTTTAAACTGAAGCTATCAGGCTTGGAACCACAACCATGAGCCTACCTTCCTCTTCCAGTCCTTGATAGCATCTGGCTTACATTTTGAACTACAGAGAATGATTTGCATGAAGGGAATGATTTGAATACTGTTCCCCCATTTCTCACTTCCTTTATACTGTGCCCATTAGTTGGGGGAGGGAAACGGTTATATTCAGCCACAAAGAATTAAAAACTTAAAGCTCAGAAAAGGAAAGAATATAGTTATTTTTGGAGAATTAAAGATGAACTTAAACTGTGGTAGGAGGCTTAGGTCACACTGTTAGGTCTAACAGGTCTAACACGCATTTGGATGCAGAAACCAGTAAACCCAATGTCCACTCATGTAGCTTGTGTTATGGGCTGCATTTTTCACCTTGTATATTCATATGCTGAAGTTCTATACCATGTGTCTCAGAAGATAACTTTATTTGGAGACAGGTACTTTACAGAGCTAATCAAACTGATCTAAAGGCATTGAGGTGAGACCTACTCCAATAAGATGAGTGTACCATAAAAGGGGGAAATTTGGACACAGATGGACATGTGCAGAGAGGAGCGATGTGAAGAGATGCAGGGGAAAGATGGCTGTTCTTATCCCCGCCCTTTCCCTTTCTCTCTAACGTTATCTTCTTTATTCCCTTCCCTCTCCCTTCTCTCAGACTTGGGCTCCCCATTAGCAGTCTTCTGTGTATCATAGGTGCATCACACAACCATCCAGGCAGAAGGCTGTGCAAAGGAATCTATGCGACAAGTGCTCTGTTTGTGGAACCCATAACCACCCTCATCACAGTAAGCAAGAACTTCACATTTTGCTTAATTGTTATCATTAATGACTATAATTAATGCTTATCAATTATGTTTAATGGATGAGTAATTATTATTATTGGCAGAGGAAAGTTCTCTTTGAATCTCTGTGGCTCATGGGATCCATCATGTGTCACACAAGTCTGGGGCTGCAATTGACAAGAAGTGGGAGCAAGGCAGAATGTTTAGTGACTGTCAAGATGGGATTAGAAGGATCCACAGGAGGCTGAAAGATCTCCTGGGAGAAAGTGGAACAGATCAGTCCTGGGCTGGGAGGGAATGAATAGGTAGAGGATTGAGGCACAGTAGCTGGGTGGTTTTAAAATGTCTGGGTGATTTGAGGGCAAGACAAGAACAGTGATCATTTTTCCTCACAAGTCCTTTGTTGGCTGGTATTGAAGATGGAGCCATTTTTCTCTAGTATCAGAATCCTTTCCTCTTGATGGTTTTGTTGGAGGTAAAAATAATAAACACTTGCAAATTCACCAAGGACCAAGAAGTATACCAACTATTGGAATGATAATCGTTTGGTTTGGGGTTGCCATGGTTGTTGTTGTTGCTGTTGGCTCTACTCAGTACCAGGAACTCTCACAGGCACCTTGCATATATCCTCTTGTCTCTAGTCTCTTGTCTCATACTCATCTTAGAAAGATTAGAATTCTCAGGCTGAGAAAGGAGTTACCTGCTCAATACCCAGCATCCACAGCTTATATAAGGGGGGAAAAGGTTATTTTGAAATCAGCAAGCTCCAAGGCAGAAATGGCATAGCAGAAGGGCCTGCTGGAGGAAAGCTTCTCACATCAAGGAGGTCAGAAAGTGGAGAGCAAAGGGAGGAGCCAAAGAGGGAAGTGTTCATCTCCTAGGTGACCTGCCTCTTCTAGCCAGACCTTATCTCCTCACAGCACACTGAGCACAGCCAGACTTCCCCTATGATCTCTTAGTACCCGAAAGCCTCACTTTTAACATGAGGCTTTTTTGGGAGGCGGGACATTCCAGGTCTAAACCATAACACTGAATATCCAGCTAGAATATAATAATCTTGCTCATTTTTGTTGCACTGATTTCTGTAGTGATATACCATATCTAAAAAGACTGAGTTCATTAAAGAAATGAAGTAGAGAGCAAATCAGAGTAACAGTGGTACCCAGGGGCAGGAGATTTGGTAGATAGCCTATCATGACTGAAGTTTGAGAAATGCTGGTCTACACTGTTGCCCTTGGCAAAGCTCATGAATCTGTAGGTTCCAGGCTAAGCAGAGAACATTCTTGAGGAATGTAACCCTTGGGGATTGTAGGGGACTTAGGAGGGTCTCCAGTCAGGAGACGTCTTAAGCGGAGGCCACCAAGTTGATGTTATTTCCCATTGAATGCTAAGCCTCCTTTTGAGAATTTTTTCATTTTCAGCTACTGAAATGCCCTTAGTCCTTCCTGTCCACACAGATAGGGTTCAGAGTTCATCAGTTTCAGCTGACCATGATGATACATGCCTGGGATCCCAGTACTCTGAAAGGCTAAGGCAGTGGGATTGCAAATTTGAGCAGTCTGGGCAGTTTATCAGCCTAGTGAGACCATGTCACAAAATAGAAAAATAAAAAGATTCTATGGGAACACAACTCTGTGCAAAGGCCCTGGGTTCAATTCCCACACACAAAAAACTTTACCGTTCTTAACAGAGCCTGAAGTCACCTCACCTACCAGCAGCAGGGTGTTGGCATAGATAGTCTACCACTACTCACCTTTCTGTAGACCTTTTCCCAGAAGCTCTTGGAGAAGACATGCCATGAGACAAACTTTGGCTCTAATGTCTGCTTCATCGCTGAGCAACTCTGAGCATTGGATTGGATTTCATAACTTTTGTGGCCCTCAATCTCTGCATCTGTAAAATGGAGCTAACAATAGACACGGTGTGAGGATCAAATGGGAAACAGTCCTAAACTCCCCAGTCTGTGGTAAGAACTCAATAATTGGTAGCTATTATTAGCTTCCTCCAAGGCAGAGAAATGTAAATGTATACCTGCCAAGCATTCTGGGAATGTGGCCAAAATCACCCTGTCTCAAACATGAAATTTCTTTCCAGCCTTAAATTTGGGATTCTACTCTGTAATATATCTACATTTGTTTTAATATAAAAATAATGCTTTAAATTACCATCAGGGACAATTAGTGTTCCTGAAAAATGAGTTTTAAATATCCTCCTCTGTGAGCCCTTCATTTCCCTGGATATATATGCAAACTGTGCCCAGAGAGGCACGAAAGGATTGTGTCCCCTTAACTCAGCGATCTCTCAGTTGAAGGTGACTTTACCCACAAGGGACATTTGTATAAGGTCTGGAGACATTTTTGATTGTCACAGCTCAGAGGAGATGGTGCTACCAGTACTTAAGAGGTGGAGACCAGGGAATGTCTGAACACCCTGAGTGCACAGGACAGTTCCCCAAGGCAAGGAAGTATCTAGCATCTGATGCCGATTGTGTTGAACTTAAAAACTCTGAAGATATCCAGAGGCTTTGCTGTTGGAGCAAAACTGAATTATACATGTCCATTCTCTATTTTGCTCTCCACTATTTTTCCTACTCTATTTTACCCCTGATTTTTTCTTACTTTTTTCTTCCATTACTTGCTCTAATTCTTCTTTTTCTTTCTTCTTTCTTGTTTTCTTTTTTCTTGCTCTAGAGAGAGAGAAAAAGTCACCAAGATTGCAGGAACAGTGGCAGAGAGGCCTCACTGAATGGGGCAGGCAGTGGAATGAAGGAGAAAAGTAGACAACCAAAGGCAGAAAAATAGCATAGCAGAAATGAAGCACAGAAAGTTGACTATAATCTCTAACATAGATGGCCTTAATACACCAACAAAAAGAAATACAGGTAGAGTAGATCAGGAGGTAGGGTCCATTGAGATGTTCTCTATAGGAAGTATAATTAACCTGAAAGAAGGTTTATGGGATGAAAATCAAATAGGAGAAAACAATACTCTATGTGACGGGGAACCAGAAAGAAATAGGGGCAACTTGACCAGCACTTGCAGATAGGTTGGAAAGACATAACAATTTTGTGCAGTAAGAACTAATCATCTTTAATGAAAAGAAAACCTTGAGGCTTTTGTAGGTAAAGGAATACAACTTGAGATCAAGCCTAGGAGTAAGAAGATTCGGAACCACTTAGGTAATAGCAGGTTGCCCCCCTAATCTGAAAACTGAGGGAGTTGGTGAGACCCAAAATGTGCAGTCCACCCTGTGGGAGTGAAAGGGGATGAATTGTCTGAAACAGGAAGGTAGAGGATATTGTTAATAGTGTATTAGGATTTGAAATCCACATTATTCTCACTGCTCTGTTTAGATGGATTATATTCTGTTCCAGTGTGTCTATTTGCACTAGATTTGAGGGCACAGACAGCTATCCCGAAAATAGCAGGATATAGTATGGTAATCATCCTTAATTTCCTATTAACTTAATCTGAAGTCTTGTATAATTTACACTGTCTTATTATGACTGATCTTATTTGAATATGGTTTGTTAGATTGCTGTTTTGTATTGACTGATTTTATTTGAATCTGTTATGATGGATAGTATCAAGTCTGAGACTATAGGCAACTACACTGAAGATGACAAGATTCACTAGGATACCCACTGTGGTTTGATTATTACCTGCTTTTGAAGTCTCATAATGTCTCCAATGTTTGGTTTTTATTAATATTGTTATGTACTGCTATATTCAATTATACTATGCCTGATGATATAGACAATTCTATTGATGATAACAAAAGACATCATAGTAATCATTGTACATCACCCTGTATGGCGATTCTATATGACTTTCTTGTTTCAGGTTTTTCTAGGAATTTGTTTTGTTTTGTATTCCTTTGTTTTGTTTTTCCATCTAATAAATAAAGGATATGTAGAGACTCATGCATACAAATAGTTTATGAGAACTGATTATATAACGCATGGTGAAGTGAACAAGTACTTTTAAGAAAAAGAGACACTACAGTATCCAGTGCTGATCCCATAGTGTCATGATGTGAAATCCAGCAATACTATTATTCTGTTTTATTTTGTTTAATTTCAACATACATGAAGTGTGGACAACTATTTTGAAGAGAATGAGAGACACTATGACAGCCATTGTTGACTTCCCTATTGTCTGGTCTTGATGACCTAAAATGCCTTCATCATTCTCTTTGGATCAACTTTATACTATGCTGCTTTGTATGAATTCACTGTGTGTGAAGATATAGACTATTATTTAGAAGAAAACAAAAAATATGATAGACAGTGAAGATCTCTGGTTGTCTTGCTTTGAAATTTATGTCTCTTAAATTACTTTCTTATGTTCTGTTTTGTTCTGTTTTATTGTATTTAATTTTACCCTTTTTAAAATAAAAACACTGGGTATATGCTGTGGAGTGTGATTTGTATGTCAATGAATTTTTTTTTTAAGAGAAAAGAAAGTGGAGGAAGTCACTGGGCAGTTGCTGTTTCCCCAATCATATTTCCTGGATTGAAGCTTCTGTACCAGCTTCTTGGTGGCCACCCTCTGTCCTACAGCCCATTATCCACTTTTCTGGCCATCCCAGTTTACTCTACCAAACGTGTAGCAGATTTGAGGTACCAGAGAATTCCTGTCCATTGAGAACAGACCTTGACTAATAACTAGGAACTAGTATATGAACATCTCTACCTCTTTACCACTGGGACACTTTTCCTGTGGTGCTGTCAGGAGTTTGCCAAGTGGCAATAGACTCCTTTACCATGGTGGTAACTTGCTTGATAAAATACACTTCCTTTCTTCTCAGTCCACTTCCCACTTCCCTGCTAATATGTCCTGGGATCTCCACTCAGATACACTGCTTGCAGTCAAGCCTCTGTCTCAGAGGTTGCTTCCACTAGAGAAGAAATACTGGAAACCGATAAGAACCAAAAGTTGATTCAACAGTTTAAATTGGAAGTAAGCCAGTCTGATTGCCTCAGAGTATCATCTCTACCTTACTAGTTATATGACTTTGCCTGTTACTTGATCCTTAAATTTCATGTTTCTCATGGTCTAATCAAGAACATGGTGGCACCTTTGTTATAGGGATAGTCTTTGGATACAATGCAGTAGTGCAGCTGGAGCTCTAAGCAAGCAATTGGCACACAGTAAATTTGTAATTATATATAATTTTATGGGATGATGGCTGGTCCACCAAATAATCACAGACATTTGAACCAGCCTGAAAAAAGAGGGTCAGCTGCATTTGTGGATGCTTATCCATAGAATATGTATTTGTAGACAGGATCACAGCACTCTGGTCACGCTGCTTGAGTGACAAGAGTCCTACTTTACCAAAAGATACTAGCCACATGGTCTACATAACAGTGGGCAGAAAGGGGGAACATACTATACCTCATTTTGTCTGAATGAGTAAACTGGGTTGACTACTTCCTCCAAAGAGACCCATTAAGGTAAAGTAATTATCAAAAATTAGTAGAATGAGTTTTATGGTTTCTGAAAAGGAGGGCTTGCTGTCTTATCTAATTTGATTCTACATTAAGTCTGGGTTGCTCATTGGAGAGAAGAGTAGTTCTTGGGTGGCTGATTGTGAGACTTTGTAAAGTTATTTAACTTCATAAGCTATGCCCTTAGATGCAAGAATGAGATGAAAATGTATATCCCCAAAGGATTAGGATGCACTTCAGGAAACATCCTATTGACTAAATGACATGGCATTTGTAAAGAGAACCATGCAAAGTGTAAAATGTAGCAGATGTCCAACATACATGCATTCTCTTTTTTCTTCCTCTGTTGGCACAGCCCCAGTGATGTTTAACATGGGTTGAAATTTGGTTCCTTCCATCTGTATGGGACAAAGTATTTTTCAAAGCTCAAATGACTATCATTGATCTGGCAGAAACAGAAAAATTCTGGCAGGCATGAAAAATTCATGGCAAAAATGCCACTATTCCCTTTCCACAATAAAGGCAGACATTATTAATTGATCACTGCTCTTTTCATCTGCGTTTGGACATAGTTCCAGAATTTTTTCCAGCAGAGAACTACCAACTGATCAAATCCAGCATGCACCAAACCCTGGTGTGAGCTTTAAAATACTGGAGTTTAAATTGGGCACTGAGGTACGTGTCCACGATCCCAGCATCCTGGGAGGCTTGTGGAGGATGATCAGAAGTTTGAGTCCAGCCCAGGCAATTTAGTGGCCTAGCAAGAATCTCTCTCAAAATTAAAAGTAAAAAGAGATGTAACTTAATGTAATAGCTTTGGGTTCAATCTTCAGTACTACCAAAAGAAGAAAAAGGAGAAGGAAAAGAGAAGAAGAAGAAAACAAAAGTAAAGAAAAGAAAAAAGGAGAGGAAGAAAAGGTAAAAACAATTTAGCACAAGGTGTGGTAATCAAAAAATATTTAATAACTTAATGAGTGGGATGATTAAAGGAGAGCTGAACGGAGGTTATTTAATGCTGCCATCATGTGCATCTTAATTTGACAATCTTGTTCAAAGACTACACCCAAAATCCTCTAAGTTCCTCCTCCCAAAACATGAATCTTTATTTAGCAGTTGAAAAGTATGAAGTAGACTTGGCACTTTCATAAATCTAGGTACGAGGGAACCTCCTCTGAATTATGTATGCTGACGTGATCTCATCCTGGGAGATGAAAACTTAGTTGCACCTTTTTGTCTAGGGCTGCTGCACAGAAGCCTGCTGGAAGTGCTTGTTACTTGGAGAGCTTATTCTGGTGATGAAGGAGAAATCCTTAATTGGTAAGACAGAGCCGACTATTTTCTGACCAGGAGGTACATCTCAAAACTGTAAGACAGAAGCTGTAACTGAGCTGTAATGACAAGCCTGATGGTGATCTTCTTAGGAAATTGGTTTTAGCCGTGGGAATGACTGCCCTTTTAAAGCAAAAAGACTGGCGTCGGACCTCAAGTCTGCAGTCACAAGCATCCCATGCTATTAATCTTGGTAAGATTGATTCCTGACCTAATGTTTATCTTCTTCTACTGCAAACTCAAAAATATTAATGATGTTTATACAATTATCAAAGTCAAACACATTTCTTACAGATGCATTAAACTTGAAAGAAGGAAACAAAATCATCCATGGATTCACTGCCCAAAGATAGTATTAAAATTTGAGGTATTTCCTTCTTGTTATTTTTCAATGCATATTTTAGTAAAACTGTGTTTGTATGTTATGTATGATGATTTCATCTGCAGTTTTTTATCACACTTTACAGCACAGCTGTACAAATATTACTGCATAAATATTCCAATTAATGGATCTACCATAATTTACCTAACCAGTAGGCAATATTGTTCAAAGTCAAATTGTGTCTGATGTTTTGCTACTACAAAGCAGCTATGATTATCTTTGGATGAGAGGATTTTTCAGTGTTTCCTTGTGTGATATTTCAATCTCTCTCTCCTCTTCAAAGAGATATAAAATACACAAAGTGAATAATGTATACACGTTAAAAGTAAAGTTCAACTAATCTGTACACATATATAACCAGATCAAAGTATAGGTCATTTCCAGGATGCCAAAGTGTCCCTTACCTGGCACAATTTTTAAACAAATACTGTTGCAGACAAACAAGTTTCCTTCTTTGCACTAAAAAAAGTTAGTGGTTTCCTTTTTATTTTTTTTTTTTAATGGAGGTATTGGTTTACAGCAA